AAAAAATTAATTAATTAAATATATATATTATTATTAAAAACAAATGAAGTAAAAGCAAACAAAAAAATGGCAAAGGCGTGCAAGTGCAGTGCCACGGAAGCGGATGACAAACGGCGTCAGGAAGCCAGTTAACGGAAGGGCTGATTGGCACCCATCGTGGGGTTGGAGGGCTTATTTGCCACTTTTTTAGTTCAGGGGCTTATCACTTGCTGTCGAAAAAGTTGAGGGGCTTAAGATGGGTTTTTGCCTAATGTTAACGGTATTAATATTTCTTCCACGCACATGTGATGAGTTGGTTATCATTTAGCCAAAATGTGTCATTTTTCATTGCAGGGGAAAAGATAAGATTGACAGTGTTCAGCTTTTAATTTTCTTAATTAGGTAGTCGAATTTCTACATTATATTATTTTAATGCATTATTAAATGCGAACTGCTGATGGTTAAAGGGACCCATACTCTGCCGACATGTGAAGCAAATCCCACCTTTTTGTACTGAAATGGATTAATATGTGCAGACTGTGTATATTCTAAAAGAGAAAAAGGACCAATTGCAGGTACAGTACAATTAAATAGATGCTAACAAAAATTTTGTGTTTGTATCCCCCAAATTTCCACTTGACATTTTTTTCTTCCATCTGCCAGTTTCCACCATGTGTTTGATGCTTCTTGTCGGCCCACCGGGGCCTACCCATGCCAACCCCCTACCCCAAATTGTTCTCTCCTTCTGTTGTCTTTCCCTCCCGTATGCCTCTAGCAAAATTTTTGCCTCTGCACCTTGAATTGAATTGATGATTTCCGCTACTGTTCCGTTGATATAGGATTTCCATATCTCATCTGTTTGGATACAGAAGAGACTGATCCCACTGCATGGAGGACAAGTGGCGGAGCCACTTATAGACCAGGGGGGCGGTGGCCCCCCCCCCCGGGATTTGAAAATATATATTATTAATTTATTAATTATTACTATTAAAATTTTAAATATTGTATTCTTAATTGTTAAAACACATAAAATAAAAAAAGATTCAATAATAATGGGCTATTTTAAAAATCCAAATATAATTCATATTATCCATTATCCATTTTAACAATTTAATTGTTTATTATTCTTTATATAATCCATCCCAAAGTTTACAATTATGTACAGAACTCTTTAGAAAAAAAAAAATCTTGTGTCTTCTACTTTGTCTCTCCAGTGCCCAGTCCCAATCCCAATCTCTTTCAACCTCCAAAAAAAAAAAAAAAGGGTCTCTGCCCATTCATCTTGTTCGTCGATGCCACTATAGCACTACTGCACTACTGCACTACACTCTTGTCAGTGAAACTTAAAAGCTTGATAGCAAAGGAATCACCAACTATAAAAAAAAGTGAAGAAAATACTATCTCTTTTTATATGAATTTTGGGTTTTAACTTTCAAGTTTTTTAAGTTTTTTTTATTTTATTTTAAAATTTATCTTATATTTGCTGATAGATATGTTCTAACAACAAAAATTAATATACTCTCCTTATTTCATAATAATAGACGTTTTTAATTTCAAATTTATCCTAAAATAATAGTCATTTTTTCTTAATTTAAAAAAGACAAATAGTTTTTTTTCTATTTTAATGCTATGATTATTTTTTAACTTTAATTATTTATATTTTGATTGAAGTAAATATATATTTTTTTTAAATCCGGCCCCCTACTAAAATTCCTAGCTCAGCCCATGTGGAGGACCCATAGATTTCTCAGAATCACGGGATGGGATTCCTGGCTTGGTTTTTGCGTTTTTCAGGTAAAACATTTCCTCTTACAAATGGAGCTGTCCTATACTGCTATCATTCATAAAAAAGGAAAATATCGGAATGGTAAAAAACAACTGTTTTTAGTGGAGTATGGAATACTTCCAAAAACCTGTGGAATGGATTCCTGGGTTTTGGCAGTTTGCTATTCCTGGGGTTTTGGCTGTTCGCACTAGTTATTTCATCTTCTTCTCTTCACACGTCACAAAACTAAGCAACAAAAACAATCTTCTCCTCACAAACCTAAGAATCAACAATGACGATTCTTTTCACTCTAGTGCTTTTCTCTCTTATTCTCAGTTCCACTTTTGCCATCCGAATGGTGTATTTATTTTGTTCAAAACTCATTCTGGGTTGTCTTTCACAATGTATCCGGTTCTCTCTGAATTGAATTCTCTGTTTTTCTTGTTTTCCAGCCTTATGTAGTGTACTTGGGAGAACACACACATGGGCCAGAGCCAACCTCACTTGAACTCAATCAAGTGACAACTTCCCATTACAAGATTCTGAGTTCTGTCGTCGGAAGGTATTGAAATTGAATTCTCTGTTTCTGTTTTTCCTTAGGAATTGGCTTCTGATGCGGAAGCATAGAGTTCTTTTTAATGATTAGTTTTAGGGCTGTTTGTTTTGCATTAAGTTTGGTCTGAATTCAGGCCCTGCCCTTTTTCTTCGCTACTTTTATAGCCTTCATTGCACGGCTTGCTCATTTTAAAGTTGATCATGTTAGAATTAGATTTCCTTTTTGTGGTTACTGAGTTGCATCAATAATGGGGGGAGGGAGCAAAAAGACTTACCCAGGATGCAATCAAAAAAGAGCAGAATCTTAGTCCAGCATCTCCAGTGATTAGGCGGGAGCGGGATTCAAACCTGCAATCTTCAGGTCATGAGCCTGATGAGTTGATCAATTCCTCTACCCTGCTTCTTCCCCCCCGACTTGATCGAAAACAATGTTCCACTTGCATGTGTTAAGCATATATATATATGTAACTGAAGTAGCATGATTGGAGCTTCTTAGTGCTTAGGCGACTACTTATGAGCTTCAACCTGCTCTTACTTAGATGGAAGAGGAAGTAAGCAAGAAAAGGAATCAAAACCCATTTTATTTGGAGTATAAGTTTTAATTTTAGGAAAGTCAAGTGGATAGCATGTAACTTTTAATTAAGATTAGAATTTGTAGCTTATTAGATGTTCAAATTATATATAGTTAATCTAAGAACTCAAAATTAGCTTTTGAGAAAAAACTTGAGGTTCAAAATCTAAATTTTCTTGGTTCCATCTTTAATTTGACGGAATTCTTAGTTTCTGTTTATTCTACCCCTATCTTCCATGAAACAGAGAAGTTTTCTTGGTTCCATCTTTAATTTTAAGGAGTTCTTAGTTTCTGTTGATTCTACCCCTATCTTCCATGCATCAAATTCTCTGCCTCTTTCCTTAGGAGATTAGATATTCCTATGATTTTACAGTTTGATGCATTGGTTTCTCTTTACTATTTCAGTTCTGAGATTGCTAGGGACAAGATTTTTTACTCATATACTCACTCCATCAATGGTTTTGCCACGGTCCTGGACGAGGAAGAAGCTGTGCAGTTAGCAAGTATGTACAATGCGATTTCTGTTTTCCTCTGTTTTTCTAGATTTTTATTCTTGTTTTGATTCAATGTAGAACGTTCGGATGCGATTTCTGTTTTCCTAAACAAGCCAAGGAAACTGCACACAACTCATTCATGGGATTTTTGAGATTGAAAAGAGATGGGATTATTCCTTCCAAAGCAATCTGGGAAAAGGCAAGGTTTGGGAAAGACACCATCATCGCAAACCTTGACACCGGTAAATTTCACAATCTTTTATCCATTGGATTTCACCTCAACTAAGAATTTTTTATTATATTCCTGCATCCTGAGTTTTTATTATACTTATGAAAACAAATTGCTTTTGGTTAGTCCACTACTTTTGGCAGGATGCATGTATGAATCTAACAGTCATAGGATCAATGGCAAATAGCTTTTGACCATCCAATTCTGCTTTCACTATCCTTTCAATGTTGTTGTCTGTGAATTTAATCTTACAACTTTGATTCAGGTGTTTGACCGGAATCAAAGAGCTTTTCGGATGAAGGGTATGGTCCCGTTCCATCAAGGTGGCGCGGAGTCTGTCAAAGTGGAAATGGGAGATGAATTCCATTGCAGCAGGTCCATTCTTTACACTGCACTTCTCTCACTGTGCACTCACATGCCAAGTGTGCACTTACATGTCATTAGTCTACCAAGCCATTTGTTCGGTAAACATTGTAATGAAACCAGTCCCTATACTTCTCTTAACAGTACAAGGCCTCAACTATTAAGTTTTTAACATTTAAGGACTAAACTTCTACTATTTTTATACTTAAGGATAAGGATGTTTCATTTTTACTCGTGACAGTGAAAATACTCAAAAACATGTTTTCTTATAAAGGTATACAAGTTTCTTACTATAGCACGATGCTTGATTGCATGTTGCGAAAACCATTGCTTGGATTTTTTTTACAAGTAAAATATTTTGCATCCCTCTTTTTATATAGACTAGAAGTTGAGCTAGAGCAATGTTGAGTGTTCATTCAATTTAGCATTAAATAGATAGAGTGCTTTAGTCAAAGTGAATGCCTAGATTCCCCTTTTTCAATTATAAACTTAACTGTGAAAATGTATCAACATTCTTAAACTAAAAGGGCAGGACTATTAAAAATTTATTATAATGAGAAAGGAAATAGAGTTTCTTTTTTGGCACCTTTACATGTCTCACTAGTTAAAAGCAAGTGTACATTTTGAGTTGTTATGTTACATGCAGGAAGTTGATAGGAGCAAGGTACTTTAACAAAGGTTTAGCTGCATCTGTTGGTGACCAACTAAACTCCTCGTTACCGCCCTCATTATCAACTGTGAGGGACCTTGATGGCCATGGATCACACGCCTTATCAACTGCTGCGGGCAATTTTGTTCCAGGAGCTAATGTTTTTGGCCATGGTAACGGGACAACAAGTGGGGGATTGCCTGCAGCCCGTGTTGCAGCTTATAAAGTATGCTGGCCCAAAGTTGGAGATGGTGCATGCATGGATGCAGACATCCTTGCTGCCTTTGATGCTGCAATTAGTGATGGTGTTGATGTGCTCTCACTGTCAATCGGTGGGATGCTAGCTGAGTATTTTGAGGATGGAATTACAATTGGGTCCTTCCATGCTGTCAAGAATGGCATTACTGTGGTTGCTTCTGTTGGTAATTATGGGCCAACACCAGGGACTATGTCCAATGTGGCACCCTAGATATTTACAATTCGGGCTAGCACAGTTGACAACGCGTTCACAAGTTATATCACGCTTGGGAACAAGAAGAAGATCAAGGTACATATACTCTAGTATCCATCAACTGTTCATCGTTGCACCATCCTTTTAATTTGTGATGCTTCCATTTCCATTTCCAGGGAATGAGTCTTTCTGCAACAATTTTACTGCGTGGGAAATACTATCCACTGATCACTGGTGCAAGCGCTAGATTAGATGACGTCTCAGAAGTAGATGTGTATGTCATCACTCCACAGTTTGTGTTTGGTATTTCAGAGCATATAATCACTTTGTTTAACAATTTATTTTGAACAATTGTGCAGCAACCTGTGTCAGCTAGATTCACTTGATCCTAGAAAGGCTAAGGGGAAGATTGTTGTGTGTTTTCAAGGGGGAAATGGAAAAACAGAGAACGAGTAGCGGCCCTATGAGCCGGAGCTGTTGGCATGATTCTAACAAATGATGAGCAAAGTGGAAACGAAGTTTTTCCATATCCTCACATGCTCCCAGCTGCTGATGTCAAATTCATTGATGGTCAAACTATTTATGCCTACATTGACGCTACTAGGTAACAAACTTTTGCACTCATTGATTTGACATTTTTCAACAAATCATTAACTGTTCCTTCATTTTATTTATGAACATTCTTAGGAAACCTGCAGCAAACATCACAAATGTAAAGACTGTATTGGGTATAAAACCGGCTCCATCTATGGCTGCATTCTCATCTAGGGGGCCTAGTTTCATAGATCCATAAATTCTCAAGGTTAGCAACTTAGCATGTTTTAATTCAATCAATAAATTCTTGGTTCTGGTTCAAACACTACTAGATACGAAAGAAATACCAAGAGTTTATTGATTGAATTAAATAATGCGAAGTTTATTGTAGGCATAGATAGTTTGACCATCAATGAAATTGACATCAGCAACTGGAAGCATGTGAGCAAATGGAAAAGCTTCATTCCAGCTTTGCTCATCATTTGCTAGAATCATGCCAACAGCTTCGGCTTATAGGGCCGCTACCCCTTTCCCTGTTGTTCTACCTCCCCCTTGAAGACACACCACAATCTTCCCCTTAGTCTTTCTAGGATCAAGTGAATCTAGCTCACACAGGTTGCTGAACAATTTTTCAAAATAAATTGTTAAACAAAGTGATTAGATGCTCTGAAACACCAAAAACAAACTGTGGAGTGATGACATATGCTTCTACTTCTGAGACGTCATTTAATTTAGCACTTGCACCAGTGATCAGTGGATAGTATTTCCCACCTGGCAGAATTGTTGCAGAAAGACTCATTCCCTGGAAATGGAAATGGAAGCATCACAAATTAATAGGATGGTGCAACGATGAATATTTGATGGATACTGGAGTATATGTACCTTGATCTTCTTCTTGTTCCCAAGCGTGATATAACTTGTGAACACTCTGTCAACTATGCTAGCCCCAATTGTAAATATCCAGGGTGCCACATTGGACACAGTCCTTGGTGTTGGCCCATAATTACCAGCAACAGCAACCACAGTAATGCCATTCTTGACAGCATGGAAGGACCCAATTGCAATTCCATCCTCAAAATACTCAGCTGGCATCCCACCGATTGACAGTGAGAGCACATCAACACCATCACTAATTGTAGCATCAAAGGCAGCAAGGATGTCTGCATCCATGCATGCACTGTCTCCAACTTTGGGCCAACATACTTTATAAGCTGCAACACGGGCTGCAGGCAATCCCCCACTTGCTGTCCCATTACCATGGCCAAAAACATTAGCTCCTGGAACAAAATTGCCCGCAGAATTTGATAGGGTGTGTGATCCATGGCCATCAAGGTCCCTCACAGTTGATAATGAGGGTGGTAACGAGGAGTTTAGTCGGTCACCAACAGATGTAGCTAAACCTTTGTTAAAGTACCTTGCTCTTATCCACTTCCTGCATGTAACATAACAACTCAAAATGTACACTTGCTTTTAACTAGTGAGACATATAAGGGTGCCAACAAAGAAACTCTATTCCCTTTCTCATTATAATATATTTTTAATAGTCCTGCCCTTTTAGTTTAAGAATGTTGATACATTTTCACAGTTAAGTTTATAATTGAAAAAGGGAAATCTAGGTATTCACTTAACAGAACTGTTAGTTGTTATACATTTTCACAGACATATAATTCCTAATATCAAGTTATAACGTTCTATTAGTTATGTTAGTTGACTGTTAACATTCGTTAACATTCGTTAGCATTCCGTTATAAAAAATATAAAATTTAAATTCAATTTTATTTGTTAGTTCTATTAACTGAAGGCTAACGGATGCTAACAGTCAATTAACAGAACTAATAGAACATTATAATCTGATATTAAATAAAGGTTATTTTCTTCAATTCGTACAGATAAAAGGTTAAAAGTGTCAAAATATAATATGAGGGGTTAAAATTTATCAGTTTTGTAAAGTGAGGGATAAAAATATTATATTATAATGTTAGGGATTAAAACCTATCAATTTTGTAAGATAAAAAGCTAAAAGTTGGTTTTAGCCAAGTATGACATGGTGGAACGAACATTTCATAAGCATGGGTAAGCTAATATGTTCTCAGCGGAGCCTATTTACAACTGGAAATCAGTTAGAGTTTGATCTCAATTGTCCGAAGTTGTTCTGTTCAGACACATCCTGATAGTTTCGATCAAGGACTTGAATCGACAATCAAGTCCTGCTGACCTTTCTAATTATAATACAAAGTATATTAATTTTTTTTACAAAATCACCTTTTGTTTCAAGTTTTCGTGCGTTTACTATTATTATTATTATTATTATTGTTATTATTATTATTTGGTATCTGTATTTTGATTCTTTCTCTCGTTGCTGAATTTTAAATAGGTTTTAGCTCCCATTTCTCCTTGAATTTGTTCAACAAATTCCGCAGCTACTTCCAAAGACAACCCAAAATCGAAAAAAAATATCGGTACAATTGAAAGGAAATAAAAGGTTTGGGTCATGTTTTGACACATCCTAAAAGGTTAAGGGCATAAAATTCTATTTTACAAAAAAAAATTAAAATTTTAATCTTTAATTATATTATTTTATTTAACTAAAACTTAATTTAAATTTTAAAAATCAATTAAAATCTCAAATTTTAAATTAAAATATTAATTTTTAAATATCAATTAAAATTAATATTTTTTTACATTAAAATTGGTAGCACGAATCTTTTAGATATATATATATCAAAAAATTATTTTATAATATGAATTATATGTAATTTACCTTATAAAATTATTTAAATATTTTTAAATTTATTTTTATATTATTTTTTAAAAAAACATTTAATTAATTTTATAAGGTATACTCATGTAAAACAGTTTTCTATATATATATATATCGATAAAAACCCTACCGTAGATATGTTCAATAGAGATACAGGATCTGCCGCCGCTGCCCTCTCCCTCCAAGTATCCCACAACGAGGGCATCTCCTACCCAACGCTACGATCTGAGCCTTGTCTTACAGTAAGTCCCTCTGCTCAGCGCCATCTCTTCTCCTTTTCTCTACGATTTCAAATTAAGGGTAGGTGTAAAGCACTCTTCTTTTCTTCAAATTCAACTGAAATCAGTGTAGGCCTAATTGATTAGGGTTTGAGCACTAGAGATTTTTCTATCAACTGGACTTTTGATTGATTAAGGTTTATCATTTTTACTTGTAATTCTTCTTCTTCTTGCTATCTTTGTTTGGGATCATGAGTTTTATATTTATTGGTACCATCTTCAGGATGACTATTTCAAAATTTTTGCTACAGTTCATTGGAATTTCTTGCGATTTTATTGTTGAACTTTATAGGAATCAAATTGGGGCCGTTTTGGTTGTTTCAATCACTATTTTTATATTATGGTTGTTGCCCACCTGATTATGTATAATAGTATGAACTTCTCCTGAATTTTGTTTAGGACACTGAATTAGCAAAATGGAGAATGCTGAAGCCCATGCTTCCATGGAAATCGAGGCACTATCTGAACCTAATAACGGATCTGGGTCTTTGCCACCTAAGCCAAAGTTTGAGCCTTTGAAGGCTCATGAGATGTCTGATGGTCGTGTCCAGTTTAGGAAGGTTCCAGTTCCACCACATAGGTATAAGCCCACACGAAATAATTGGGAGGCCATTTATGCTCTTGTGTACAATGATATGAAGATTGATATCCGTATGAATCTCAAGGCTCGGAGGATTGAATTGAAGACCAGACCAGACACACCTGACATTTCCCATCTGCAAAAATGTGCTGATTGTCTTCATGCATTTATGTTGGGTTTTGATTTCGATGATGCCAGGTCTCTGGTGAGGATCGATGAGATTTATGTGGACTCCTTTGAAATTAAGGATGTTAAGACATTGAGAGGAGAACACTTGTCTCGTGCTATAGGAAGACTGTCTGGTAAAGGTGGCAGAACAAAAAATGCTATTGAAAATGCTACAAGAACAAGGATTGTGATTGCGGACACCAAAATTCATATAATGGGTACTTTTGCCAGCATCAAAGTTGCTAGAGATTCTCTTTGCAGCCTCATTTTAGGTTCCCCTGCTGGAAAGGTATACTCCAAACTAAGACAAGTGAGTGCTAGATTGGCAGAAAGGTTTTGATGAATCTGATTTTGTGTATCCTAAAGATTTTGCTCGAGTTAAAGGTTCTTAATTTATGCGGAATTTATTTTGACAGCGTTATTTGGCATGAAAATTTTATTGGAAGGCTGAGTCAGTTTTGATATTAAACTATAATTTGTAGACAGCTCATTATGAAAGTCCAAACAATGTGCCCATGGTTGTGTTTGTATTCTCATTTAATTGGATTTGATCAAGGAATGTATTTGGAATTCCATAATCCTAATGCTCAGGAATTTCTAATCTTTTGCTAAGTTGTGAACGCTCTGTATCGTTCATGGCAGCCTGTGGACAAATTTAGGTTAAAGGGACCTCAATGTTCACACTCCCAAAACCAAAAAGTGTTAAGTTGCTTGTGGAGTTGCTTTCTGGCAAGGCAAAAGAGTTAATTTATATTGTTAAAACTAAAAACTGTTTTATAAGACGAACTGTTCCAACCTGAAAAACAATTTTCTCTTGTTAAAATTAATTTTAATTAATATTTTGTATAATTT